CTTCAAGCCGCAGGTGCCTAGAGCTTTGGGTTTGGAGGGTTTAGGTGTTAGGGTTTAGGGTTTAGCGACTTCAAGCCTCAAGTGTTTAGGGCTTTGGGTTTGGAGGGTTTAGGTTTTAGGGTTTAGGTCTAGAGGCTTCAAGCCGCAAATGCCTAGAGCTTTGGGTTTGGAGGGTTTAGGTGTTAGGGTTTAGGGTTTAGCGTCTTCAAGCCTCAAGTGTTTAGGGCTTTGGGTTTGGAGGGTTTAGGTTTTAGGGTTTAGGTCTAGAGACTTCAAGCCGCAGGTGCCTAGAGCTTAGAGTTTGGAGGGTTTAGGTGTTAGGGTTTAGGGTTTAGCGACTTCAAGCCTCAGGAGCTTATGGTGGAACCTAAGGCTCCAAAGGGCCCAAAAGCCCTACATAGTATGGTCTCTGCGCTCAAAAGCCCTAAAACATGAGTCTCCAGAGCCTTAGGGGGAGAGTTTAGGGGGACTTGGGGTTTCGGGTTGAGGGGCCTTGGGTTCAGCGGGTTAGGGTTCTCGGGGTTTTAGGGTTTAGGGCTTTAGGGGCTTGGGTTCGGTGCAAGGGTTGACTTTTGTGGTTTCTCTTGTCTGGGGAACCTGTCAGAAGGATCCTACTTTTCATTTAGGGTCGGTGGCCCTGATTGTTCTGAGCTATATAAAAGCTTGCATGACAAGCAGAGGGTTTGGGGTGATGATGATGTCCAGAACATCTGCTGACACTGGCGAATCCTCAGCAAGACTGTTACTCAGTGTTCAGGCCCATGTCCTGCTTGTGTTATTTCCTGGTGACTACCAAGATTCGTTCGCTGACCCTAGATCTTAATGAATGGCGTCTGAGGTCGTGGGTACTTACGCATGAACACCGGGCCTGATACAGGATCATGTGCAGTCACAAACAAGAAACTACTTAATGCTGCGTAGCCTTACATAACATCGTTGCATTCATAATTACATAGTTCATTTGCTCTTTCAAAGAGCCTTCTCCGAAAGCCAGAGGTCTTGGCTGTTTACAGGGCTTCTGTGGTCGGAAATCCGTCAGGGTGGGGACCTGCAAGGTTGTTGCAGCACTCCTTCAATTGAGCATGATGCTCAGCCAACGTAGCCGCTGAACCTGTAATTCTACGCAGCGGATACAGATTAACACGAGTTATACAGTCTGCTTAGATTCGGGTTCAAAGTTTAGAGTGTATAAGCACACATGAGCTTTCAAGAAACCCACTGCGTCAGAGCAAGCCGAGCTCAGTGCCCATGATGAAATGCTCCCAGAGGAGGCTCGGTGGGTCCGCAGGCAGCAAATGAACCTCCGAAAAATGACCCCGAACCCTTAAAAGTCCCTGAGCCCTGAACCCTTCAACCCTTGAACCCTCAACCCCTAAACCCTAAAAGCCCAGACCCTAAAACCCTAGATCTCCCCAAACAGTGCACCCATAAAGCACCTTTAGCCTAACCCCTAGAAAGACATCAACCGCACGACTGGCAGCTGAGGTTCGGTTTCCTGCGCACTTAACCTTCGATCCTAAATCCTGAATTCCCGCGAACGCACAAATTTGGGGCTTAGGGTGTACTGAATGTAGCGAAGGCTTGCAAAAACGCAGAGGGCCTTCTAATGCGAAGCTCAGATTGCTGTAACTGCTGTGCGCTGCCAAGCTTAGCAGCTTAGCACCTAAGAAACGGAGCTTTCATCATTGTGAAGTCCTACAAATAACAGTCTTGCACCGACAAGCTCTTACTTACTGCGGCCTTGGGCATCTAGGTTCATCTAATATAGAGGCCTCAATAGCGAGGACAAAGTTTTGGGATATCATATGCTAAGGTTGAGTAAGGAGCCCCAAGGCTCAGCTGCAACCTTGCACCTTAAATGCTCACATCCCGGCTGATGTAAAGCATGAAAACAGCGCGAAACCTAGGTTCTGAAACCATCCTTCCTCAAAGGCAACTAAGTAATTACGATGGCATCCTTCATCTTCATAAAGGTCGTTGAGGACTTAGTGAATCAGGGGCTGACACAATTGTTGTTATTGTTCTTCTTCTTCTTCTTGCTATTACTGTATGGCTAGCTGCCAACCCAAGCAGCGAAGACCCCAAGGTGATAGTTTAGGGTCAGAAGCTCTTCTTGGTGTGCGGGGCTTAGTACAAGTGGTATATCACAGACCAACCGAGCCGTGTCTGTCTGTGCTGAATGAAATTTCCCGCTCAAGAATTTTCCCACGTTCTTCTCCCTAAACCTGGTGATTATCCAAGATGTTGCAATCCTAACTCGGAGCAAACGTGTAACAAGAATCACTCACCCCGTAGGTCTCGGGGCTTTTCAACTAACAAGCCCCGAGGAAAAGGATCTCTGAGGCACCTATACTACGTTACGCCCTGAAGCAGGTGTTGCGCACCTCCAACTTCTGCCCGTCCTTAGAGGCAAACTTGCGAAACCAGCAGACTTCAGAAAGGTTCAATCGGATTCAGGATGATTCGTGCTTCCGGCTTCTCCTCTATATCCATGGAATCCATGGTGGCGATTGAAGAGCTTGTTTCGGTGATAGAGGGATTTTAAACGGCTTAGGGTAGTTTGTCACCATTGTCGGGGTGCTTGGGTTTCTGTTATAATGGGCCTGAACAACGGCTCTTAAGATATGGAGTCGAGCATCCTCCGTCTTCGGAAACCACACACCCCCCAAAGTCCGAACTGTCAGAAGCTTGAATCCGAAAAAGACAAAGCCCAAGATCCGAACAAAATGACGGATAGAAACACACCGACCGAAGGCCGCGGCATACGGATTCTGGTCCAGTGCCCGCTGCAGATTCCTTGCCGCTTCCTGCTAGAAACAAAATGGAAAATGCCCTCTGCAGCGGTTTTTGAGTCAGTTTTTGGCCTGCAGGGTTTCGGACTTGAATGTTTGAAGTTTTGGGAACTCTGCGTTTATGGGGTTTACGGCCGGGAGGGTGGTAGAGAGCCTGCCTGGGTCCTACGGCCATGCGAAACTACGGTTCAAAGTTCAGCGAAACCTGCATAACAATGGCCCCCAATTCGAAAGCCCTCAAAGGCATAAATCTATAAAACCTAAACATAGCCAAGAACATGCCTAATTAAATTTAATTTTCCCGCCGGACTTTCTCCCGTCTTACGTTTAGAGAGAGAGAGAGAGAGAGAGAGAGAGAGTGCATTGGCTTGAGTTGATGTGGATGCCTAGCGGAACACACAACGACATCTTAGGCTTGAGGTTACAGTCCCTTAATAGCTAGTCTAATTTGGCCAAGCCCTGTTCTTATTGTTCAGGCCCTTCTCTTCAGTTAGTGCAAGGCCGACAGCAACCCGAAACTAAACACAGCTGTTGAACCCGACGAAGTCGTCAGCTGTCAGGAGACAGATGGTTCGGGTTTTGGGTTTAGATTTAGAGTTTATGCTTTTAAGTTTAGGGGCTTGGGACGGCTTGGGGCCCAGGGTTTTAGGGACCAAAATTTAGAGTTTATGGTTTTAGGCTTGGGGGCTTGGGGCGGCTGGGGGCCGAGGGTTTTAGGGATCTCATGTGGTCTTGCAGCCATGCAATGCAAAGGATAAACTCGCTCGCTGCCACTCCATCTTCGGCACGGAATTGGGACTGCGCGTCTTCGTCTTGCACATCTGCGCATTTTCCTGGGTCGCAGTCCATTTCCCGGTATGCGCCTGCAAGCCTTGCTTCACGATCGTCTTCTTCGACAAATGGCGGGAGGGCTTCGGATCCGAGCCACGGTGCTTCACATGGCCCAGGAAGTGACTCCCAAAACCCTAAACCCTAAACCCCTAAACCCGAATGCACTACCGCCTTTCTGAAGGCCCAGAGACTTGTAAGTTGCCATCTCGTGCTCGGACATCTATCAGGCAGATTAAAAGCCTTTTCCTTTGCCAAGCCTCGAAAATTACGCCTAGCGGTCTCGCACCCCAGCACTAAAAGAAAGCGTCTTCCACGGAGGGTTTCTGCCCGCCCTGTCCTTGTTGTTGACCGGGTAGCGGAACACTACAACGACCTCGAGAGGATGCGGACTGGAAGATTGTCTCCAAAGTGCAAACATCAGAAGCCATACATAGGTAGTTCTCTAAATTAGGGCCCCCTCTTAGGTCCCTCAGAAAAGTACGGCACCCTTATAAAAAAGGACCCAGAAAGGGACCTCAATATAGAGAACTACCCACATGTCAACTGCTTAAAGAAGCCCGACTGGGCAGTCTCCATGCGAAGGCCTTAATGATGAGAATAGGGTTCTGGGTTTTGGGCCCTTGGGCCTAATTTCTATAGCATGCGGTATAAGTCTATCACGGAGCCCGGTAATGATTCAGGCCACTACGATCATTACGTGTCGGACGAGAGGTGCTGGATGGATCCTTCTGCCCACGAAGCAACATCTCAAGCCTTTCAGGGCCTAAACCCATCCAAGCAAAGCAGTCCACCCAAAGCCTCCTCCTGACCCTCCTTCTCCGTTCCCCAGCTTTGGCGTAGAGATACTGACGACTCTACACTCGAAGGAGCACGAGGGCTGGACTCGACCAGAGTTCTTGATAGCCCGCAGCCGCTCGCGAACTTCCTGGTGCGAGCAGGAGGAAAAGAAGTAACCATGGCACCGAATGAACATAGCAACCACAGGAAACTCAACCCCCGAGCTTTCTGTCTAGAAAACATGCCAAACCCACACGAACCATACACCCACCAACCGCGAGTACACCCTTACGTAGCTCCATGAACTGGTCCGCATGGCAAATGAACTCCAGAAGAAGAAGGTACCCAACCAAGCTACCCAACCAACGAACATAAATCCGACATGAGCAAAATACATCGAGCCCTACGCCCATACACCCGGATCCCATAAAACCCTAACCAAAGAGCCCCCCAAAAAGCGCTAAAGCAAAACATCCCTGTCCTCTGCTTTGGTGGAGGAGAGCAGGGCCTTTTTGGCATCTTGTCGGCTCGTCCAAGCTATGAAGACTTACGGGATGTCTTTGCATGAGGGATGTAGAGCAGTAGGAGCTTTGTGGTTCCGTTGGTTCCAAGTTTCAGGGGGTTTTGGATGGTTGGAGATTCGACACCGCAGGCTTCAGCTTAGCAGAACGACAACCCTTGGTGTTCTGGATATGACTTTTTTTGAATTTCGAGAGCCCTGTACCAGGAGGCGGCGGCGGTGAGGAAGTCTTTGGGGTTCCGTTCCCAGGTCCCAGGTCCGCCAGTATCGTCCGAATACAGCCGGTACTTCAGTCTCAACACGGGAGGCGCCAAGTAAAGAGGGTATAAGGGCACTGCTGGAGGCTTCATGGGCTTCGGTGGGCCCTGCCTAGCTTTAAGGACAATGGCCGAATGGAATATAAGGGAGAGACTGGTACCCTCCAGGTAGGGTTTCACTTGGGGCCTGAGGGTCTCTTCATGAAGACACGGGCTCGGCCCAGCTGCGCTTCGGGGTGGAAGCATGGAGACGGGGTCACGGCAAAAGGAAGGCTCTCTACCTATTCTGCTTCGGCAATCCCGAAACCCCGTTCTAAAGGTCTGACATGTGCAGGCAATAGCTCAGAAAGTGCATGCCGTTAAAATCAGCTGAAGGTTGTTCCCAAACCCCACATCGCCGCAGCACCAAATGTTGAACATCAAACACCCTAAATGCCGAATTTGAAAGACAAGCCGTCAACCCTCGACACCGAAAGGAAATTACCCTCGGTCTCCCGGCCGAATTCATGGATTCTTCCACAAGCTCGTTTAGGGAGTCTTGCCTTTCGCTGACGGGGGGTAGGGTTTCAGGCAGTTTAGTACACAGGTTTCAGGGCCCCACGGCCTAAGGTTTTAGGGTTTAGGCGTCGGGTGCGGAAGAATTTGTTCGGGTATATGTTGAGAACCCGTTTACTACATATTCCCATCAGAGCTGGGGACACGGCGGGTACAACACTAAACGCCAGACTCGTTCAGTCTGGGGTTTAGGATGTAGGAGGTTTAGGGGTTTGGGTTTAAGGTTTAGGTTTAGAAATTCCCTAAACCTTGGCCTAACTCACACCCTCAATCTCTCGACCCCAACCTGAGCTGAATACATGCAGGCCCCAAGCCCTGCGTAGGAAGCAAACAACTGTGCCGTTCTGCATATTGCTGCTAATTATGGTTCACCCTTCCCTCCCAACCCCTGAAGCCGTAGATCGTCTCACCACCGGAACCCTGGCCTCTGCTCTTCACGACCCGGTTAAGCGTTTATGATGACCAGGGTTCTATAGTTTCTAGTATGCAGCTCCCTTGTCTTGAGGGCTTTATCATGAGGTGCCTGCAAGCATCGCGCGAAGCCCGAACGAAGTCACGAAGCCCTGAACCTGGCCCCAACCAGCGGCTAAAGCCCAAGCGAAAGCCCAGAAGCACCCAGACATGACTACGAGCTTGACACACTTAGCCCTACAAGATATGTATCCCTCAGTTTGTGTGCACGCCCACATACACATACACGCATACGTATACATAGTTGTATATGCAGATGCTGAGCCTAACACGCCTCAGCTACAGGATTGATCACTTCAGCTTGATCCCCCGAGCCCGGCGCTCAGAGTTGTCGAAGTCGGTGTTTGACGAGCCCTCCACGAAAACGGCTCTCTGTGCTGGTTTTGGGGTTTGGGATGCAGTGCTTCTGAGGCTTGATATCGGGGGTCTCAGGATTAGAATGGGGTACTGGGGTATATTTTGCAATACAAATACAGCGATTATGCGGGGTATTTATACTGTTACCCAATCGTCAAACAAACAAAGACTGGGGTCGAGGGGTAGACGCGGCCCTAGCCGGAAGCCAACCACTCTTTCTGACATCGTAGCCGTACATCTTCCACACTTCCCACTCCGGCACCGGGCTTTTGGGTTTGGGGTTTGGGGAATTGGGCGACAGGTCTGTTTGGGAGCTTAGGTGAGGCAGCTTCAGCGCTTATGGCTACACGCAAGCTGACGAACTCCTATGACCTCTCGCACCCCCTTGAACCCTAAGCCCCAAACGGTTAACCCCAAAGCCGATAACAAGCATCCCCGACTCAAAAACCCTGCACTCCTCCGCCCTCAGCCCCCCCGGCCCTACTGAATATGTAGGGTTGTATTAAAGGCTCTTTAAAGGGGTCTGTCATGGTTTTACAGGGTTCTAGTGTCGGGGTCCCAATAATAATTAGAACAAGGCCAACAAGGCTTTGCAGTACATTCTTGTCTAGTATAGCTATAAGGACTATATGGGGATACTCATTGATAACTAATTAGCAAATTTGTCGACCTCTATATCCAGCCCTCCCGAAATTCTGAAAGAGCTCCTCTGTAGAGCTGTCGTCCAAGTTGACGACGCTGCTGACGTGTACTTCCTGAGGCTCTCGAGCTTCGGGCTTAGAATTGGATACTGGGGTTTTAAGCTGTTGCTACTCATGCTTTAGAGCTTGTTTCAAGGTTTCTGGCTTCTGCATTTAGAGGTTTAAGGCTTCCAAGTTAAGGGTATTTCGGGGTTTCAAAAATTTAGGGTTTTGGGGTTTAGGTGCCCTACCCTACACGCAGAGCATCTTGAGCACATCCTGACTGAATCTAACGCATTTTTGGACTTGGCAAAGGGCGAACCCTCAACCCCCAAGTTGAGTTTGCCATGAAGCAAAACTCAAAATAAGCAAAAGCCAACTCCAAAACAAGAAGTCCCACGTTAAAGACCCGGATCACGAATCCTACAGCTTCAGCTTCTGAACCTCCCAGTCGCATTCGCCTCGAACCACAAATTGCCCAAGACCTTCGTAACGCCGAAACCGAAAATCACGAACTTACGGGCTGGATACCCTTGCCCACAAAAGGGTTAACCTTTTCAATAACGGTAGGATTACATAAACCCCAAGAGGTTAAAGGTTACCTACTCAGGTGCTAAGGAATAAGGTTCTGGGCTGTTTCGCGGCATGTATTGTAATTTGTATGTGTGGACTGGTGGGAGCTACTGTTGCAAAGTATTCCGACCCCTAGGGAAGCCCGATGGCCCTGCTGCACTAACGTTTAGGGTTTGCGATGTAGGGAATAGAACTTCGAAAGCCATGTACTCCTGAACCTCAAGGTCTTAAACCCCAGAGCATAAAGATGAAGTGATAAGCTTTAAATCCTAAACCCTACACTCGGAAATCGTAAAGCCACGCGCCTCAAAACATCCAAAACCACAAGTCCTATACCTTGAAGCCATCCATCCACCCGGCAAGCTCTCTTCAACCAAGTGGCAGCTTGCTCCGCACCTGCGCCTGACCTGAAACTTCAGAGCGAAAGGGTCGGACATTTAGAATGGTAAGGTTTGGAGCTTACACTAAACCCTAAACCCCTAGACCTTAGTGCTGTAAAGTTTCAAGCTTTTTGGGGTTTTAGGCTCTAGGGTTTCGGTCTCTGGGTTGAAGTTTGTGGTTAGAGAACTGAGGCTTGTCAAGTTTCACTCCGGGGTTTGCAGCAATCACTGAACCGCACGACCCCAAAACCCTGAAGCCCTACCATCGAAAGCCCTAAAGAAGATGCTCAGAGGCCTGCATCTAGGATGTGGCTGCCTCTCTTCCTCTTCTTAAACCCAAACCGCGCCCTCAGCGAGATTTGTGCAGGGCCCATGGTTTAGCCCAATACCCGGGCCGGAACAAATCGAATAAGACTTTGGGCAATACTGTCAGACGAGGGACTCTAAGGACACATTCTTATCCTTGCTAATCCTTCGACCTTTATAGTATGCCCCCCAACCAGACAACCATGATAACGCATGACATCCACAATCATACCAATCTCCGGAAGCCCTAGCCCCTGATATCAACTCCTCAATTTTAAGGCCGACCCAGGGTGACTACCTCTGACCCCATACACTCAGCAGGATCGGGTCTTATCGAGCACGCCTTAGCACAAGTTATTTCCAGTTGATGAGTTTTTTACCCCAAGCACCAATGGAACACAAGCTCAAAACTGTGGCATCTGCCACAAAAATGTCAAAGGCGACCTACTCAGCTGCAATAACAGCCATAAGGCCTACAAGCGCTGTTGTTGAATCGAACCCGTACAAAAACCCTTAATGCAGCCCTCCCAGCAGAACACCCGTCAGCAGAACGCGCCTTTCCCCTTCGCGCCAGGCTTCTCGCACTTCGTGCATCATTTCGCGGATGCTGGGCAGGGTCCAGGGTTCAGACAGGAGAGGCTTTGGGCTGAGGCGGCTGGGGGTGAAACTAATCAAAACCCAAAGCCCTAAACCCTCAACCTAGATCCTTTGGGAGTTCAGGGGTTCAGTGCTTAGGAGTGGAAAGGCGTTGAGCGGCCGGCGCGGGGCCCTGGTGTCGGCCTTCAGGGTATATTCCAGCAGATTCAAGGTGAAGATTCCTAAGGAATAGTACTAGTAGCGATTCAGGCCCCTTGTTAGGAGCTTGCGTGCCTTTTTGTGGAGGTAATGTCTATTCGGGATAATTAGCATAGGGTTTGGCGGCGTACTTTAGTATAACTACACAGGGACTATAGACGCAATAGCTTAAAGCTTGGTCCATGAGCAACGAGACACGGCTTCAGGCTACATTCCACCATAGCAACACTGGGAACATAAGACTATCATGTCTAGTTGTCCAAAACCCTATACAACAAAATCCTAAAACCCAGTACCAGCCCTCTAGAACCCGAAAAGGAACCCTTACTGTGGATATCACTATCTATTTCCAAAGATCAGAACCCTGCTGCACCAACAAAAACCCAAAACAAATAAAGACCCCAAACCCAAAGTGCGGGCCTTTCCCCTTCGAATTTGCCAAAGCGATCTGGCCGACCTTCCGCCGGGGGCACTTCGGGCTTAGGGTTTTCAGGGGTTTCAGGGTTTCGGGTTTAGGCGTTTTATGGCTATGGACTTGCCAAGGATATTTGGGTTACTTTTTAGGGTAGTTGCTTTGTCGGACTTTTCTTTTTGTCCTTAGCCTTTTTGCCGTGATCCGCGCTGCTTTAAGATAGTATTCGACCTGTTATTGTCTTAGCTAGGTTTATGTCCTAAGCGGCAAGGGTTGAGGGCTTTGTGCTCAAAACAGCCACTTCACAGATTCTGTCCACAACGGTTCGGCTTGCAAGGCATCCCAGTGTTCACCTCTACGGCTCATTACTTCGGATATGCACTTTCCGAGCATCGGGCTAAGTTGTCTTTCAAAGATGTGCCTGTGGACATTCCAATGCAGCCCTTCCAAAGCTTCTGGGTAATGAGCCCTCATATTAGCGCTCCTGCTGTTTAAGTTCCATATTGGGGTCGTGGTTCGTGGTGACAGGGTTAGGGCTTTGGCGGCATGTAAGCAGCTATCGAACGATGACTGCGGGATCGTGGGTTAGCTTGCCAGAAAGTTGCCTGAGCTGTATGGTTTCGTACCGGCCATCAATATACACGGTTCAACATCGGGGCGTAACAAACAAGGGTGGTGTTTCAATCGTTTACTAAGTATGTTACTTTACCTTCCACCTGTCGGAGCTGAAGCTGTCCCTTCAGGACAAGCATGAATCAAAGGCATCATGCAGCTGTGGGTTGCACTTTCGACGTTGCAGCACTGCCTTTCTGGTCTTCCCACAAGAACCCAGGACAAGCTTCATGGGCATGATGCCCCCTTGCTTTTTCATGTTTGCTCAAAGCATCACAACAACTGGAAGCACGACAACATGCGAAAACTAACACCAAAGCATGTAAACCCTAGGCCCGAAACCCAAACCTGCAAACCCGAAGCATCCAAAATGACCAGTAGACAACGTTTCAACGACTCCCAGAAGACCTGGCCAACCGGGCTCCTTTAGGGTTTAGGATTGATGGTTGTAGGACGCAAGTAAATAGCTCTCATTTCCCTCATAGTGTGAGCTAGCCTGGTTTCTTTAACTCTAAGACTCTATCACGCCCGGAAAAAATCATTAAAATTTCGGAAGCCTTAACTAAAAAATCAGACCCTATCAAACCCTGCAGCCCTCAATCGCCGTCCGCAGCAGTAACCTCCCGAAAAAACTATAAACAACCCTGAAAAACCGACTTACATACCTTCACCCTAAACCCTCCCAGCCCCTCAGTGGAATAATAAGATCGCGGGTTTGGGGAAGCTTCTTACTATAGCTAGATTAAGGAACCTTACGACACTGTTCCTACCGATTCCGACACTTTTATGAAAACCCTTGACTTCAATTGTGAACTTTGAAACTTGAACGTCGTTGAACATGATCCTGGCCTAGGCTGTCTCCGGAGCCCAGGATCATCAGTTCTTCCTGGATGAAAAGCACGTTTTGAAACTGTGGCTTTATGTTTACTGTTTCTAGGGCCCTAGCAGTTCAAGCTTTTAGTGTAGGTTTGGGGGCACAGGTCTGGATTTTGGGCTTTCGGCCTTGCACCTTCTGCGCATCAACGTTTTTTTCGTCGCATGTAGCGCGATTGAGGGGACAGGGATATCGCAGTTGAACCGCGGCAGCTTGCAGCAGCATGATTCTTCGTGACCGCCGTTCGAGGGCATCCTCTTGAACTTGCTTGTTGCATAGAATGCGAACACTCCAAAGCTCTAGGGAACACGTGCATACCTCAAAAAACAACACCGTTCTGGCAATATACATCCTAATGTCACCTGGAATAGCAGGAGTGTTCGTCAACAGACGTAGGCATGTACAGTATGCCAGTTGTCATTGCCATCTCTTAATTAGCCTATAACCCAAAACGCTCTACCTGCTTATGATAATAAAAACCCCAAAAAAAGGTAAAGTCCCAACAGAAGGCCCAGATCCCTTGAGCCCCAAGTCCGGCTCCGAACTCTCTCGGAGCACCTTTTTACGATAAGCATGGCATGAAAGGCAAGCTTCGCAGAAAGAGACAGACCTCCAGCCTCGTTTCCAAAAGGATACAAGCCACAGTGCAACGCAAGATGGCAAAGAGATCGGAAACCATAAGCTTCTCTGACCCTTGAGCCCATAACCCAGCACCCCACATCCCTAAATCCGAAAGTTTCTGTCCCTGAATCCTAACTACCGCGGGCAGAGCCAAGCCCTATGCCCCAACTTTCTTTCATTTCACACCCACCCTCCCAAAACCCAAACTTTTATCAATCTTCTGCTGTGTCCTGTCTGAGTCATCATCCCGAAACACCAAGAACATGTTTTGCCCACCCCTGGATGCAACCGGCTCCACCTGAGACCTTCAAAGCCAAACACCAATTCAATCCACCCAGAATTTGAATCCTTTGGTGTAGGGCTGTTCGGGTTTAGGGTTTAGGGTTCCCTAAACCCTCAACAATTCAGGTTAAGCCTTGGTCTGTTCTTCACCCTCTGCGGCGCCTCGAGCTCCTTCTGGATGAACTCCACGTCGTTGTGGAAGTCGAAGCCAATGGAGACCCCGACGATCTGCCCCAGGTTTCCAAGTGACCCAAGACATCCGACGAACAGAAAAACAGGGGACCCATGGATCATGATTACGGTTTACCATAGGGTTCAGGGTTGGGGCTTAGATGAAGATTATAGATGATTATGGTTCGCCGTAGGGTTGAGGACTTAGATTTTAGAGGTTGGAGGTTTATGGTCGGAGGTTTAGGGCCTAGGGCGACAATACCTCAGCCGCTTGATGTAAAGGCCTCACATTCGCAGGCATACCGAAGGTTGAGCTACGAGGGCTTGCGGGCTGTGAGCACCTTTAGCAGTCTGCGACATCCGTTTCAAGGTCAACCTCAGCCCGCTTCTAATATTCCCAACATATGGGGGTTTCCCAATATAGGGGACCCTAATATAGTACCCTAAATAGCAGGATCCTTATTATAAGGACCCCAAAATAAGGTACCCTAGTTTAGAGAACTACCCATATTTTCTGCCATCCGCCTTTCGTCCACATTTGGATCCTCTGGACCTGCAAACCTACACTTGGAATCTAGGTCTCCGCAAGCCCCTCTCTTGCTTCACGTACATCTTTGTCACGTCCTGTGGAAATGTCCCAAACCCTAAACCCTACAAGCCCTAAGTATCAGGAAGCCCTCAACCCCGAACTCTGCGTTCTACAGAGTTCGGAAGCCGACGCACTCGGAGATTGAAGTGCCTTGAATCCAAGCTTCGTGGGTACTCAAGGAGGCTAACTCCAAATCAGAGTTTGAGGGGGTTTGATACGACACATCTCCAATGACTGCAAGACAATATAAAAGCCATTCAGACGTGCATCTTGCTTGCATCCAAACCTCTGTCCGAAGCTTCAGGGCTTACGGGCTTACCTTTTCGCAGCAGGAATAACATGGAATATACTGTAGTGTCCATACGTGACGTACTCGCGAGCCTACTTCGGACAAATGCGTCTCCTTCCGAGACAGGGTTGGGGTGTAGGGTCTGGCCGAGGCAAAAGCAACAACAAACCTGAACCCCAAGCCCTAATTAAAAGTCTAAACCCCATGCCCTAAACCCTATGCACCCTTAAGATGGAATGCTATCAACATCTCTTGTGCCTCTGGCAACAGCCTGGTCGGCAGCTTGTTGCAGGCATCCTGTCAAAAGGCGGAAGGAGCTATGTCAGGCTTGTTCGGCTGTGTCTGAAGCGGGTGCTCATCACCAGTAAGTAACTGCAGCCGTGCCCGCCCTGGCCCAAACAGGCCCTTCTAGTGAATTTAGTGCATCCTAAGCCTAAGTTTGTGAAACCTTCATCCCCATAAAATCTCCCGGACTCATACTCCAGCCGCGAAAAGGATCCCCGAAACTTCAAGGCCTTAAAAGCCTGATCCATAATCGCCCAAACTCTAGTAAGTCTGCGCTCTTCAGGGCTTCTTGCAGGTCGTTGAATTCTGGGCTTGGGGCTGCTAGGGCTGTGAACAGCACAGCTTTGAGAGATTTATGCATTTAGTACGGTTTAGCGTTCGGGGTTTAGGCGGGCTTAGGGCTCGAGGGGCTTTTCGGCTTCAGGGCCTCAGGGTGTTTTGTAAGGGTTTGATAAGGAGGGTCTTGTTATGTAGGTTCACCAGTGGCTCCCGGACATCGTTTTCAACAGTGGGCGCCCAGTTTCCCTTTTATTCTAGTTTTAGCAAAGGGAACCCAGGTCATTGCTGGGCGTCCTTGCATTTCATGATCATGATTCTGAAGCCCTCTAGCAAACACTCTAGGAGTGAATCCATAAGCCCGAAGCAATGGCATTCTGCCTCAACCCGAACCCCATCCCCCCTAAACCCTAAACCCTAAACCCAATCCTGAACCCTAAACCCTAAACCCTAACCTGAACTCGCGCGTCCCTGCAGAGCTCTAAAGCCTGAATGCCAACCTTCATCTCCAACCCCAAAGCTTGGGAGCTTTGGGTTCAAGAAAGAAGTCAGATACATGTAACATAGTATCTGTATGTATACTCTGTATGTATATACATATATATATATATACACACATCTGTAGATGTACAAACAACACCCTTGTTTTGATTCAGAAAGCTTTGCCCGAGCCCTCCCAAGAAAGGCGCAACCTGCAGGTAGGTTGTCAACTCCTGGGACAGGCGCAAGGTAAAGGGTTACACGATATCGCTATGCAAGACTTTGGGTAGGAATCCAGGCTTATGGCGTTTGGGGCTTACGTGCTTGGGTTGTCTTGTCCTAGCTGATGCGATCCCGGGCGCCCCAGCCGCCGAACCATCCGCCTGCTGAGCTCTGAAAACCCTCCCCCGAAGCCCCAACTCCCCCTCCCCCGCCCGAAAAAGGGTCAACTTCCTTCAAGCATGATAGGCCTGAATTTAGTGGAGAAGCCAAGTAAACCGGGGTTGAGGTGGGGGGAGAATGTTTCCAACAAAGGTTTCGGCTGCAGGCTCTAGGGTTCCCGTTGTCAAGCCGAATTCGAGGGCTGGACGGAAGTTCCTATCTCATGACTTCAATCCGAGTTTCAGAAGGACTCCAGGCTGACAGCATCCTGATGACGATGCCCAAAACACGAAACCAAAAAGGAACCCATGCTTTCTTTTAAGACCCTATCGGGGAACATACCCCCAAAACTATAAAAGATCCCTCTGTAGTGTAAGGTCTATTGCTCTGGGCGCCCCGGGGCTCCTTTTCGGAGGTTGCTGAAGGTGGAAAGCCATCCACCTCGGCAGCTGCGGAAAATCCCAGGCTCCAGGCTACCGGCACTTCGGGATGTTCTGTACGCATTGAGGCTTCAGTGATTCAGGTTCAGGGTTTAGGGTGTCAGGGTTCAATGCATGGGTATAGACGGCATAGACATCGTGCTTGAGCAACTTGCCTTATGTTATCACAATATGGATTTATAGTACAGTTCTTATTAGGGTAGCGTCGATAAATCGTTTGGCAAAAGCTCAGTTTTTGAACGCTATAAGCCCTAAGCCCCAAGACCCTAAACCCCAAGTCCCAAGACTGAACAGTACAGCCTAAGACCCTAAACCCCAAAGCCCCGAAGCCCCACAAACCCTCAAACCCTCAGACCCCGGAGTACCCTCAACCCCAAACCCCCTTGGACCCTAAAACTTATAAGCCCTAGAGCCTCAGATCCTAAACCCTAAGCCTTAAACCCTAGACCCTCATCCTGTGGGATGCTCAGAAGCCGGCAAAGAGGGCGTAATCTCGCATCTCCATGTGCCTCATCGCGGCTCAGAGCTTCGGCAGAAGGGAACCTCACTATAAATCCTCGATGAAGCCGCTCCTTGACATGCAGATGCGTCCTAAACCTAAACCCTGAACCCTCAACCTAAGCCCTAGACCCTAAAAGCCAATAACCGCCTTGTTGAACCTCCGGGTCTCGGTTGTGACACGGTGGAGTTGACGGCTGATGCAAAGCATGTTGGCATAGTAGAGTTAGATGGGGCCTGTAAGGGCATATGAGATACTAAATCTTGAGACTCCTTTAGAAATCTGTGGCCACTGATTAGACTTCTTGTGTGTGGGAGTTAGGGGGTTTAAAGATCCTGCGGCCGGCACGGGACCCTGCAGAAACAGGTCATTTAGGGCTTAGGGTTTAGGGTCAACGTGGTCGCACCAAAAGAGCGGTACTGAGCCGCGGGCTTGTCATCGAACTCTCGCGCAAAAACTCGCTGCTTTTTGGCCTTGCAGGCTCAAGAGCATTCTACTAAGAGGTTCAAAAAGTTTTGTTCAGCTTTAATGAAACCCCGAAGGATAAACCAGGCTCAGGGGGGACGACAGAAGGACCTGATGGTGGGAAAGGATGTCGGCTCAGTGGCTCCAAGGTTCGGGGTGAGAAGCCTCCAGCCGTTCGTTCGAGGTTTAGGAGACAATTCGACAGGTCATCTAGGAACCTGACTAAGAAACTCTGATTCCTTATTCGGGTTCTTTATGTCGAGTCCTACTATTTTGGGGTTATAAGGCCAGGGTTCTTAATCAGGTTTCTACATTAACGCTACATAGAGGAAGCCTTAGACTGCTCATCCTAAATCCCGAACTACTGTGGAACGTCGAAGTAGGGATTGACACCATGGAAGTGCGCAACGCAGGGCTTCGGAAGTTCGAGGCCACCAATGAGGACATCACCACCATGTGCGGAGAGCGTGAGGGCAAGAGGCATGTCGGTGACGGGCATCTATACTAGATCTCGAAATGTTCAGGGTTCAGAGTCCCTTAACCCCCAAAACTTGAACCACGGCCCTAAGCCTAAGCCCTAAAACCGAACTTCTACACCCTAACCCCAACACCTCAACTCCTTACACCCTAAACCCTAAACCTCTTACCTGCCAAGGCAGCTCGGAGTTTGGGGCTCAGGCTTAGGGTTTCGGGTTGGGGGCTTGGGGAGTAGACCTCCAGGTTTAGGGTTTAGGGTTTCGGGTCTGAGGCTTAGGGGTTTGAATTTAAGGCTTCGGGATAAGGGTGTAGAGTTTTAGGGTTTAGGGTTTAGGGTTTCGGGATCAACGAGGGAATGGACCTGCTAAACCGAAGAACCTAAACCCTAAAGCCCTAAAGCCCTGGACTCTAAACCCTATACTTATAACCGAACCACGACCCTCCTAAGAGACCAGAAACGCTGCTAAACTCCACAGCCAGACAACCAGGGCCCCATGCGTGACGCCAGTGAAAAATTGCAGTCACCTGGAAGGGTCACACATTCGCGGCGACGGGGTTTAAGTGACAACTTTGTGGGGTTTGGGTTTTACAGGTTCCTGTTGGCTGAAATCCGTTTTGGGGGATTCCTAAACCTTAAACCCTAAAACCATACGGGATGGAGTTTCTAATGTAGGTATCTTAATTCTCAAGGATCAAGCTACTTGGGACCCGGGTCCTTAGGGTGCCCCTCGCCTGGCGAGCTGAGAGGGGCGTAAGAAGGTTTATGGCTGTTGGTTGGAGCCTCAGGGTTGTAGGGCTTAGGGCTTAGGGTTTAGGGCTTAGGGTTTAGGGTTGGAGCCTCAGGGTTGTGGTTTCGGGCCTTGTTTAGGCCTTATATTGTGGAACCTGGAAAGTTGGAACATGGGATGCTTGCTGCTGGGATGTCCTAGACTCTACCTTTGGGCCTTTGGGGCATCATCAGGAAAATTGCGATCGAACTTTGAGGCTTCTACTATGGTTATTCTCCAACTGATCCCTAAAACCCAACACTCTGAACCCTGAATCCTAATCGGCTCTAATTCTTAATCCCCGAAGCCCTAAACCCCTCAACCCTAAACCCCTAAACCCCTAAACCCTAAACCCCTAAACCGCAAAAGCCCTAGTTCTGGGAATCTGGGGTTTAGGGTGCGCAGTTCGGGCGCTCAGCAGCGCTGGAGTTTGGACATCCTGGGAATTAGGGTTTGGGGTTTCGGGTTTCGGGGTTAGGGTTTGGGGTCCCAAATTGAGCATCCTCGACGACGATCCGCTATTTAGGGGAGCGCTCCCGGGCATACCCTGACACCACGCAGGCAAGGGTCGGCGGCAGTGAGTCAGAAAGAGGACATTCCTGTGACCCCAAACCCCACACAATTACAGGGTAGAACCCATAAAACCGTAGGTTTTTGGATCCCCTGCTTTCGCATTTTCACAACACCAGGGGACTGAGGGGACCATAGTGTAGAGCGGGAAACTTCCCACCCGCAAGGACGGACTGCTTCAGACTCGCAACGAAGACCAGCAAAACGAGGCAAAGAACTTGAAACTCAGGACACCCTGAACCCTAAACCCTAAATCCCAACATTCACCCTTAACCCCAAAGCTCTTGAACATTTGGCCCTTTTCTTGCCCAAATGGATCAGGGGCTTAGCATCGCTGGGGCGACAACATGATTGACGCGTTTCTGCTAAGGGTTTCTGCCATAGTATGTAGTAATGTTATGACAGCAGAAGCAACGCTGTTTCGTAACTCAAATCATGACTTGCAGCTGCCTTGCTTCACGGCATGGAGACAGAAACCCTTTAAAGATTCCTTCAACGAGCCCTAGGACCCTAGGTCTTGAACTCTAAACTCAATACCCTAAACCGTAAACCCTACAGTAAAACCTGTAGGCCAAACACTCTGATCCCTTAACCCCAAACACCGAAAGCCTGCGTTGCTAAAGACAAGGAGCAATGAACAGGCGGACCAACGCCCAGGTTCGATCGAGAGCGAGATCCTTTGCCTTCGAAGATGTTCATACCGCTTCTAAGGGCTAGCGTTGATCTTTTAAGAATAGGTTCTGTGGCGATTCAAAAGTCCTTGTTTTTAGGGTTGGTGTTGCTACTGTTGTTAATCTGTTCTTCCGCGCTAGGCCATCTCTTCATCCAAGGCAAAAGCGACGCGTCCTTGTGCCAGACTGGCAGTATGAAAATGTGTGTGGCGGGGCCCTTAGTAGGACTTGTGAACTTTGCCTCAAACAATTTTGTTCAAGGTTTTGGGCCAAAAGGATAGGTCTTTTGGGGAGCGGTCCATCAAGTTCGTTTCGCAGCCTACTTGGGCACGGCTCAAACCCTCAACGCTCCACCCTGGGTCCTAAACCTAATCCTTGAAGCCGAATCCGGAAGCTCCTGACTCGACTTCAGCATTAATTCATGCAGAGCCGTAATAATTGGAACAGGGCTTTGGGGTTTATCACCGTATTAGCATACTTGGGTCTATATGACGAATTCTTCCGACTCCACAATAGACTCCCACGGTATCACAACTCTCTGCGCACGTGAAAAACTCAGCAAACAAGTGAATAAGAATCTTGGTTTACTAAAACATCGAGTGGGTAAGCAGAGTAACAAAGTATCCGCTGGGCGCAGACGTATAGTCAGTCTTTGGACCATGTCACCAGCTCGATGAGTGTTCGGACAAATGACAGCCATAATTACGAACACCGAGTAAACAAACATCCTATATAAATGCTGATTTTGACCTGTGGCTTTATCTGTCGCTTTCCTTGCCTTGAGCTCTAAGCCCCTTCGAAAGTCTCATAGCACTCTAACAATGCAACAAAAAACTCTCGAACCCCCCACCATTTTGGATGTTCGATGGTGGCTCTCTCCGCTCCGCACACTGAGAACCCGGCCGCAATGTCGGCCCCTGTACGATGATCGAAGGGCAAACACCTCGGAGCTGCCAACGTAACATGGGGGCCTTAAATGGGGAATAGGATCTGGGGGGTAAGCCATAGTACGCATCATGAAACAAGGACAATATGGCGATACGAGTATGAACTGGTCAATTATTCAAGCCACTCCATTCATTACTTCACCCTATTCCCTCAAGTAAGTACCCAAAAAACTCTGAGTCTGAGCCCTAATCCCAAAACCTGGAAGTAGTATCCCGAAAATCCAAAATCCTGAACCTACAGTGAAGCGAAACCGTAACAGAATCACTCCGTTTCCCTATGGTTTAGAAGCTCGGTTTCAGCGTTTTCAGTTTGGGCCTGAGTTCCGACTCTAGGACAGGGTTTGGGAAAGAGCTCTGGCGAGCCAGGGTTCAAGCTCGGGGATTGATGGTTGCTCCGCGCGAAGGTTAAACATCCCAAACCCTGAAAATCCAGGATCTATATGAATGGGTTCTTCTCCCTTGAAACTTGAAACTCCTCAAGTCTATATCCCTATATAGCCTATATACCCTTAACCCTCAAACCCGAAGCCCTAAGGTTTAGGTCCTATATACCCTAAAACCCCAAACCCGAAGCCCTAATGTTTAGGTTTAGACGGTAGGGGGTTTAGGGATTAGGGTTTAGGGTTTGGGTTTATAAGGGCCTAGTTTCGGAGTGACTCTCGGCCCTTCCAGAGAAGGTGCACCCAAGGCCTCAAGCCCAAAAATCGAGCCTGTATGGGTACCCGAAGAGCCCAATACACCTTGATCAAGACTATACCTTAAACTAGAGTGGCCTGAATATTATGATTTAAGGCATATTCCTCGATTAAGGGGTATTGGGCTCTCTGCGTAGAGTAAGGCTTCATGGTAAGGTTCCTCATCAGGCCTGAACAAGCAGAATAGGGGTTTCAGGTCTCTTCTACGTTCATTTTGGGGTACCTACCTGTTAAATCCTGGAGCGAAGCGAGTCTATCAATCTTCGGGGCATCCTACAATCCTGCAACCCTACACCCTAAACCCTAAACCCAGGGTCCGCGCGCTGTCTGAATTACGTCCTGGCTTTCAGGGGACCCGGGGCCCTCGGGTGCTTGCTGGCGGCTTGGGTGCCTCATGTGCCTTTCTGAAGTGAGCTAGGGCTGCTAGGGCTCTGTCACAGCGTGCTGTTACTTAGCAAGGCTTGGGCCTTGAAGGTTCTCACACCCTTAGGGTGTAGGGCCTAAACCCTGAACCCTAAAACTGCTAAACCCCTAAACCCTCACACCCCAAACCCCTAAACCCTCAAACCTTAATACCTAAACCCTACATAGTCTTATGCCTGGCGTGAGACTTTGGGTTTCAAGGTATCCGGCCCTGGCCTTCAAAATCCTTCGGCCACCGAACCCCCCAAAGCCACAACCCCGGGGCCCGGAATCGTGAAACCCTAAACTCCACCAGCCGAGAACCAAAGCACCGAAACTTCTGGGCCATGGATGGGTTTCGTTGTTTAGGATTAATTCAAGGATTTGGGGGTGTGATCATAGTAGTTGTAGTTGGGATGTGTACTTGGTATCCTGATTTTCGGAAACACTCATTTAGAGACACTCCCGCTGAAGTGCCTCCTGGGGCCAGGGGTGAGGGTGGAAAGCTCACTGAGCAAGAGCAGCTGATTTGCGAGCCAAACTCGTCAAATCCGAGAACAGCGTCAAGCGGGTCAAGACGTGTGGTTTTGTCCGAGTTGCTGCATTCCCAGACCCCAAGCGAGCAATTCTGCCTTCCCTTCGATTCTGGTCAGATAACACAAACCCAGAAAGGGCAAACACAAGCTGTACAAACAACCTCAGACTCGCAAGAACGGTTGATGATATAAATCCTGCATTACCCATAATAAGGAATATACCACAATTCCCACAGTTTGGGGTTCTGAAGGTCATGCAGGACTTATATCATCAAAGAAGGAACATCCTCAAAAGCACTCCCTAACCTAAACACCCGGAAAAACAACCCCTGAATAAGCGAAATTTTCAAAACATGCCCAAACTTCGCCTGAAATTCCAAACCCCAAACTTAGCCCTAAACCTTTAACGGGTTCAGAAGAGAGTGCGGGCCAGCCTCCAAGCAGCGACTCCGCATCTCTCGAAAGTCCTTGCGACGAAGGTCCGTAGCGAGCCCAGTGTATTACTGCGGCCGCGAAATCTGCAAAGCGAAGTCCCTGAGGCGTTCACCCGGGCACTCGCATGACATGACCTGGTACGCACACTGGATGGTTTCACCATACCGTGGCAAGCCAGGTCGGTGCAGAAGTCCCTTACGAGACGTGCCAAAGCCTACAAATTCGAAACTTCTGATACGTCGATGGTTCGAGCTGTGCAGGAGCTTACGACCCTCCGCTCTTTCACAACTTTGAATGGAAAGCACAAAAGCGACCACAAGTTCCCGCAAGATCGCCGGCTGCAGTATGCCGCTAGGCGATAGCAGATCGATGCCAACTCGATTGCGACCAGCACCAAGAAGCGGGAGCATCCCCGTGCAAACAGTGAAATTGAGCATCAACTCCAAATGTGTGATCCCGGAAAATTTCTGCAGTTCAGAATCCGTCGGAGGCCATTCGAGCAGGTCACACCAGGCAAGAACAGCCGAGTAGTAGTCGGGACTTGATTCCCGCAGCCGGGCAGCCGCAGTAACCGTCGCATCCGAAACAACTCTCGTCTGGAGGCTCATCCACCGCTCGGAAACTGCTGCAAACGTGAGGTCCTCGGGCTGGTACAGGATCTTGCTGGTGGCCTCTACTTCCGCACGCAGCGGCTTAACAACCTGCAAGAGGGCAACTTGATACTGGCAGAAAGCCAAGAACCGGTCGTGCTGCTCCGCATAGTGCGCAGCAACATGGGAACATGTTTCAAGTGCTGTTTCCAGATCCTGCTGCCGGGCCTGCTTCGCGGCCTCATCAGCGAGCTGGTTACCCAATGTCGGCAGCACCAGCTCATCAGGGACATCAGAAGCCTGCTTGTGCGCGGCAATCTTCCGGAGACGCGTGCCCTCGAAGACCCCCGCGGGCAGCTGTTCAACCAGATCGGCCGCGAAGCTGCCCGCGATGTCATGTGCCATCTGAAGTTTGCGGGCCAAGCGCAAGGCAGTGAGAGAATCACTCCAGACGGTCGCTGCACCTGTTGGATACGGTTGAGACAGCCATGCAGCTTGGGCCAGTGCTAGAACCTCTGCCCGCGATATAGTCTGCACTCCCGGAACCAGGCCCTGTGCCACCACCACGAACCAAGCAGAGAGTGAGTTCCTTTGACGCCACTGCGACAGAAGCCAAGCGGGCTGAAACGGCCAGGGACCGGTATATAGCAGTACTGCCCAGGCAGCATGGCGGGCTTCCGGGCAAGCTGGATACTCACATGTGCCATCAGTGAAGAAGTGGAGTTCCCCCGCCTGGGCCCAAGAGGGAATGTCAGTTGGCAGCCCTGCAGGCGCAACAACACCACGACTGCGCCACAAAAGACGCAGGAAAGGCTCGTCCTCGTGACAGCTCGGGTACGGGCAGTGGAACCATTCCGGGCTTTGCTGTTCGACCAGCTTCAGAAGTGGCAGAAAAGGCTGACGCGCAGATTGTGTGGCAGGGCAGTGCATCAGCCGATGCACCTTTGTGTCAGTCGCCCCGCAGAGGGCACAGAGTGGCGATTGCAACTTATCCCATTTTGCCCTTGCGGCTCCGGACAGCAAGGCACCCGTTACAACCCTAGCCAAGTGAACCTGAACTCCGTCATCAAACTGTCTCAGCACCTTGTGAGTCACATGCGGCGCCGGGACGCCAGAGAAACTCAGACCATTGCGATGTGAGATAGCACGCGGGACCTGCTCCCGCCAGGCTTGCCGGACGGCAGCACGTATGGCCTTAGCAGGGCTCTGGCGTAGGGACAACCACGTGTGACCCGGGCCTTTGGCAACACCAGCTTGGCTGAGACACCAACCTGTTCGGCGCAGGAGACCTGCAAGAGCAGTGGCAGGACCTAGGGCACGTTTCTCTTCAGCGGCGAGAGCGTGAAGTGTATTACGGAGCCATTCTTCGCCCACAGTGGGCCGGACGATGAGCTGGCGCTGTAACGCACACAGTGACTGTGCCAAGAGAAACACTTCAGGATCATCAACATTGGGCGTGAGTGCAGTCAGTGTCAGCAGAGGGGACAGGGCACTATGTTCGCCCAGCATGGCCCGTGCCGCAGATGACCGCAGCTTCTGCACCGCAGACAGAGAAAGCTGGGAGCCCTCCATACCGTACAGCGCAGCCGGCCAAATCGCTGTCTGAATCAGCCTAGCCTTATTGAACAATGGACGAGTCAGTAGCTGCAGCTGGCCCAGACGTCGCCGGCCCTCGTCCAATCGCTTCGTCACTGCTCCTGAGGAGCCATGGGCTCTAAACCGGAACTGGACGCCCAAGTCCTTGGCACTCTTGACAACCTGAAGTTTCGCTCCAGCTGGCAAGCACTGCTGCACATTTGACTCCAACCACCTCTGTAGTTTGGAGGCTGTAGCCCAAGCAAAGCTTTTGTTCCAGTCAATTGGCAGGAGCAAACTGCGGCAAAACCGGACGGCAGTTTCCAGCACGCACTGCAAAGACTGAGGAAGGCAAGCCGACCAAGATAAGTTGTCCACATATGTGTACAGCTCCGCATCCTCCGGTCGCGGGAGCTCTGCAAGGTACCAGCACAGCGCAACCATGCAAAGGACACTAAGGGGACAGCCCTCCGGCACGCCTGTTGTGCTGCCGACAGGCAGCCCAATCTCCTCGAAAAACACAGCATGTCGCAGTGCTTTCTGCAAGAAATCAGCCCAGACAGAGATAATGCTATCCGGAACCCCGAGATGAGCCAGTAGGCGCTTCATAGGGGCGCGCGGGATCTGGTTAAAGCATTTGATGATATCAACACTAATCCCCGCAGTCGGCTTGTGCTCCATCAAGGCAGTCTCAACCCGTACCTGTATGGCCAGCGATACATCCCGTACACTACGGCCAGGCACGGACCCGGCAACAGCAGCGGGGAGCCATTGGGCCCATGCACGAAGAAGGCTGCGGGAGCACAGGGAGGACCACAGCCGATAGAGATTGGAGAAGACCGTAATAGGTCGTCCGTCCTTCATGCTCTGGGGTACGTCGACTTTGGCCAGAGTATGGACAGTGGCACTGGCAAGGTGGGCAGGGAAGCCACATCGGCTGCTCATGTCAAAGATTTGGGCAAGATGCCACAGTGGGCCATCCGGTAGCCACTTGAGCGCCCGGTTGGAGAATCCGCAGTAACCGGTGGCGCTACGGACCTTGAGGGACCGCGCATGTTCACGCCACAGGTCCAAATCCAGCAAATCCAGCTCAAAGGTGTTGCACTGGGCAGGTGCAGGGGGAAGAGACTCCAGAAATTCAGTCCATGCGGCCTCCTGCAGGGCCTCGCCGCGATCTCTGGCCCAGATGGGATGCCAAAACTTCATGAATTGACGGTTGAGCTCGGCAGCTGAACTGGCCTCAGTGTCTTGATGCAACACCGTTTGCTGCGGCAGATCACGGGCGGTCAGAAAACGGAGGTGCAGGAGCATGCCGGAGATCTCGTCATCACTAGCCTCCAGCAATGCAACTGGTCCCTGCAAGCAAGTGAGCGGGAGCTGGCGCTGGAAGGCTTTGGGCTCAGGGACACGATACCAACCACTTTGCTGGTCAACTCTGGAATGAAGTGTTGCAGCCTGTGCCTCTTGCACCGGTATGGCAGTGAACGGAGGCCTTGCAGTGGGGCGGAGGGCTTTGTAACCCGCACGAGAACATCCTTGCACAACATCCAGATTTGTGCGGTACCTGAACAAGGACCGGCGGTGCTTTGCCTCCTGGCGCGTGAGCGCACAACAGTCGTGCTGCACGACATCAATGACCTCCTGAAGCCATGACTCGGGCGGCGGGCAAAAGAGAACCTCCGGTTGTGGGGAGTAGAAGACTTCAAAATGGTCAAAGGCCAACAGCCACCGCGCAAAAGAGGGACCATATCCAGACGCTTTGCAAATCGCCCGCCACTCCAAGGCGAGACGCTGATGCACTTCGGAGGGGCATGGATCCTTGAATCGACGGGCAGCACGAACAGACTGCAGGAAGGAGCGAAGGCGACGGACCTGCCTAGCGCGGGCTCTCGACTGGACCGTAATGGCCTCCTCCGGAGGGTCAAAGTCGCCCTGACGGGCGCGTCTGGCAGCGGCGGGGCACGGTCGCTTCTTAATCGGACGATATACACAGCGCCCTCTGTGGCTTCGAGGCAGCCCGCTCATTGGGAACCGGACCGGATCATCTTTGTGCTGGTCAGCAAGGGCCTGGTCCACCGCATCTTCGAGAAGACCGGCCCAATCCTTGAAAGCGGCCTCAACATCATCCGCTGTGGTTCCTTTGGCAATGTTCTCCGCAAGGTGACCTGCCCGAGCCTGGTAGACATCATGCACCTTACTGGCCGAGGGCTGAAACTCCATCCAGCATCGAGGCTTCCGCCAGACCGAGCGGCACGGGCTCTGCCCAGGTCGATGGAACTCCATCCGCAAGGGGGCGTGCGCATCGAAGTCAAAACTTGTATTGTCCACCGAAGCACCTGAAAGTAGAGACAAGAGCACTGGAGGAAGAAGGGCAGTATCATTGTACGTGGCTCCTTTGCACGTAGGCGGCAAAGCAGCATGGCCACGACTGCGCCACAACTCATGCAGCTCCTGGTAACCGAGGGCACGAAAGGACTGCCAGCAGGGCAGCAACTGGGGGCGAATGTTGAAATCACCCGCAATCAAGGTGGGAAGCTCTCCATCCGACACGAGGTCAAGAACCTGTTGCATGAGCGACTCGTTCAGCTCTTTCGCCTGGGAATGATTAGCAGGCCAACCGTAAACGGCCAAGCAACGAAAGTGGAGGCCACCAAGACGGGAATAGGCCAAACAGACCCGCTGAGTTGCCGCAACTTGGCACGGAAGGGCCTGAAAGGGAGGGCGAAGCGGGAATCTCGACCAAACAGCAGAACCAACCGCACACCCACGTAGGGAAGGCCCCGCATTATCACCATGGTGGTGCGCAGCAACCGGTGGACTCCACACAGCATTGAAACTCAAGTGACGAAGTTGCTGCGACACCAGATGCTGAGTTTTGGCCACCGCTGCGGTCTCAGCCAGGAAGTACAAGTCCGCAGCCCGGTCAACAATAGTCCTCGCCTTGTGAAGAACCGTAGTGGGGTTGATGACCTCCACAGAAAAGGTACTTTTGCCTTTGGCAGAGCCGCGGAGACTGCGGGCATTTGCACTATCAACCCGAGCATGTGGGGCCGGCTCACGCAGTCTGGAATGATAGGTGCTTCCTGGGAGTCCGGAAGCACCTATCAATTTACTTGTTTCAGGGTCCACGAGAAGACCTTCGGGGGGCATTATAAGGTTGTCTCCGGTGAGCTGCAGGTCCTTGCAGGGGGACCCAGGGCAGTCATGTGACGATGTGCTCGACTGTGACTGGCCAAAGAAGTCAGGTATGCAGCGCTTGGTATGTTGCTGGGAGGCACCTTCAGGTTTCACGGGAAAAGACACAGGTGCAGACACGCAGCAGCCTCCCACACCGCTGCATGGGACAGGAGGCAAAGTCTGGCCACCGGAAAGTGGCTCCAACGACACATTGGCATGGGGAGCAAAGTAACGGGAAAGTGGCTGCTGCGAGAGGTGAGGCATCGCCACGGTTCGATGGCCTGAAAGGGGAACATGGCTCAACGGTGGTCCGGGGTTGGACGCCTCACCAACACGGCAAGCACTGTAAGGGCAGAAAGTAAATGTAAGCCGAGGCCTCAAGTCAGGCGCGGACAAGGGGGCCATGTGGGCCCGACAAGCAACCTGCTCTGCAGAAACAGGCAATGTGTAAGGGCGGTGCCACCTGACAGTTGAACCCTGAGGAATCGCGAAATTCAGCAGGGATGAAAGAACGATGGCCATGAGCCCAGGCACGGCAACAGACGGACAGACAGTTGCATCAAGACTAGAGAACCACGGGGCAAGGTAACCCCGCCACTGCTGATCGGGAACAGAGCAGTGGCATGCACACGGGGGAAAAGCAGTGGACTTATGCCGCTGCTGACACCAATCATTTTGATACCCCAAGCAAAAAATTCGCGGGACCTAGGTGGTCCGGCAGCGGAGGCAACGTACGGGCCTTCGCACAGAAAAAGCAGTGAAATGCTGAGCAATCCAGTCAGTAGGCTCACTCCCGGGGACCCTAACCAACCGCAGCCCAGCAAACCCCTAATGGAACCCGCAAATAGTCAGAGATCATCCTTCTCCGCAGCCATTTTGGCTTTCTTACTCACATCCCGGCCCTCGCGGCACGACATCATCAATTGTTTGATCTCATCCAGGCTCGACTGCATCTGCTGTTGCTGTTGCGCCTGGGCGCCCTGGAGCGAGGCCACGCTCTGTTGCAGCTGTTTGGAAAAGTCAGCACCAATCAGGGCGATGCGGTCCTGGAGCTGTTCTGTTGACGATTGGGCAGCAGCGCGGTCGGCCTTTTGTTGGTGGAGGATTTCCTCGTGCTGCTTGTCATGGTGCAGCCGAAGGTTCTGCAAACCAGTTTCCAGCGCCTGAAGACGGCCCTCCTGCTCCTTGAACCGCTGTTCGGTGGGGCCGCCCAAGTGCCGAGGGGCAGGTGCAGTGTTAGCTGGCTGCAATGGGGCACTGGTTGCTTGCAATTTCTGCTTCGCAGTGTATGAACTCCACGGATCTGAAAGGTTCCATGGATCCTCCTCGGCGCGCTGCCCAGAGGGAAAAGACTGTCGACTATTGAAGGAACCTGACTGCAGCTCTGACCGCTGGGGAGCACGTTGAGGGAGCTTGGTTATCAGCACCGTTTGTCCGTTAAAGGCAGGAAACACCGAAGGGGGCTCACCCGCAGCGCCCAGAAGCCAATGTGAGGCACCGAGGGCTTTAATCACTCTCACCTGCCAAGCAGCTTTCATGGCCCATTCACGGATTTCATCAGCTCCTGCACCGGCTGGCAACGGGCCGACCCGGAACAAATGCTTTACCTCGACCTTAGCCGGTGCAACCTGGCCGGGGCGCAATTGCCCAAATGTCTGTTCAAATTTGGTCGCCGCGACCCGTATGCCAAATCTCGCCCTGGAACGAACAATACCAAGCTGACCCTTGACCTGGAGCGACAGCTTGAGTACCTCAGCCTTGCTGTTGCCAAGCCAGACAATCGAGTATTCATGCTGCAGTGTCCGATCCGGGTTGCGCGGCACCATGTAGACCCGGTTATGACCGCTAACCTCCAGCATCTGCTGCACGACCTTAGCATCAACCTTGGCCTGGAACACAGCCTTTTCAGCATTGGCAGGAACGGTGGGTTTATCGCCGGCAAAGAACTGGCGCCCCCATGGGTTTGCAAACGCCTTATCAATGCCAGCTTTGCGAAAGATGTCTTGCACCGTCTTCACAGGTGACGCAGTCAGGGCCTGCCAGGACTCACCATCAAATTCATCACCATAAGCCTCAAAGGAGCAGCAGAAGACCTCAGGCAGGTCCACAGCAACATCGGACTGATGTTTGGTCACAACCTTGCGGCCGCCCAGGTTGTGCAGACAGCCGGCCAAAAGCAATGGGGCAGCATCCGAACACGCGCAAGCCGGGAACGAAAGCTTACCATCACAGCGCGAAGGGTCGGGACAGTGATGGCCGAGGACAACCAAGCACAACTCATCCGGTTGCACGCCGCTGAGGGCACTGAGCAGTTCAGGTGCCTCGCCCTCGTCAACCAAGAAAACTCCAGAGGCTCCAGGCTGCAGTCCGGGCAGGATGTTGGCAGGAGACCCGTCCGCATTAAAGAAGAAATCCGGCGTGAGGGACACATCGGACGCTTGGATGGAGTATCGCTCCTGGGCACGTCGTCGCTGCGCTGCCTTTTTCATTCGGACATCCGCCTTGGCCTGGTGACCTGTGACAACTGGCGTGGCTACATTGACTTGCTTGGCTAAGTCCAAGACATTACTCCACCGCTCCGAGGTTGGGCCCTGAAGGACAGCTGCAAGTTTGGGCACGCCAGCTGCTGTGGTGAGCTGGTCGACAAATTGTGTGGTACGGGCCAAATCAAGTCCGTTGCTAAGACAAAGGGACGCGGCACGTGTTTGCGTCCAGGATGCATTCTCAGACTTTACCCCACCTCCTACACATTCTGGCTGAAGGCTGAGGAGCAACAGCCCGCTCTTGCGAACGACATGGCGGCGTTCTTGCGACCGAACATCCTGCAGCAGGAGGCTGGGGGGGAGCGGGAAAGGACCTGAGAAGATCCGGCTGCGCGGCGGCAGCTCACACATGTTGGAGGCCTTCGCCCACCATTGCTCCAGCATTTGAGTCTCCAAGTCCGCTGGCAGATGACCGGTCCACACCGTTTTGGCTACAATTTGGACCTCCACGGCAATGGTAGCACCTGTATTCTGGGTGGCACGGCATTGCTGGAGAAAGGCAACCAACAACCAAATTCGCCAAAGGCCCTGGAGCTGATCCTCCGACACACGCACTGAGACAGGAAGAGGTACCATACTAATGGTCATCGTTGCGCCCGGCTCAACAGGGTACCCATGCACAGCCGCCTGCCAACCAAGGGCACTGAGAACATGAAAGGGAGTGCCCAGCCACAGGTTCATAGCACCATCTGCCGGTGACACCGCAGCCAGGCCGCCTCGGAGGCGGAACACCCGAAGTTGCTCGCCAGCATGGGCAAGGTGCAGCAATGGAAAGACGGGCAGGTCAGGGTCTTCTGGGACTGCCACCATACAGTGCTGAAAATCCTGCAAGTGTTCAAGCCTGGTCCCATAGACCGAGAACAAACTCAAGCGGCAGTCCTCAACGTGTACATCCTCCGCCACACACAGCAACTGCGACCATGTACTAGGACTGGCCGTAGAGACAACGTACACCCGGCCAGGTGTCAGCACCACACTCCAGTGCAGACAGCCATCCTTCTCCCCAACCGAGGGCTCAGCAGGGAGGCTCATTGGTGCAAGCACCTGGATTGTGGCACAACTCAAGAGAGGCTGCTGCGACAGATGAGGGAGCCCTGGTGCCGCAACACAACCAATGTGGGCCAACAAGTCAACCGGCCGCATGCCGACTGGGACACACAGTTGCTGCTGCACATCACCTGCCTGGAGAGTGACCTCCGTGAGCACCTGGGAGGGTGGTGTGGCCCATGCTGTTTTCGGCAGGCCACCGCCGCTTTTGATAACTGCTTCTGTTTGCTCTCTGGAGCAGAGGATCCAATCGGAATCAACCGGAATCAAGACTGTATTTTGGTTATGCAGTCGCAACCGACATGCCAGGTGAACAGCACTGGCAGGATCAGGCACCCCTTCAAGACCCAGTACTAGGCACCCATAAACCAAACCCACAACCGCCTGTGGAACCGCAATGGCATTGCCAAGCATGCGCATTTGAACTGCAGCCTGTGCATCCAGCAGTATGGGCTGCACCGCTCCATGCAGCGATGCAACCTCAGCACCTGCGAAGAACCTCAAGCAGCCCTGATGCTGGAGAAGGCAGCCTAGAATACCCTTGCGGGAAAGCATGCTTTCGGGAAGCGTGTGTTGGGATTGATACATCGCAAGAAAGGTGCTAGCATGACCATCCACAGTTCTGACTCGGTACTGCGCCGGTGTTTGCTGACGGGCTCCCACCCGAACAGGTGCTGGCACATACCACGGGTCGAGATACTTGGCCAGGGCGGCATCATCTGGTATGGCCGCACGCAGCAAGGGCCCTGGCAAATCAAACACAGCGTGCGCATGACCCAGAGTTTGTCTGCGCCCAAGTGCCCAGCTGACTGGTGAAATACTCACATCAGGCAGGGGGCCTGTGCGAGCCAGCACACATATGTGGCGAACCCTCTGGCAGGGAAGCACATCAAGCAGATTCAAGGTGTCCTGCCACTTGACCTCGTAGCCTGCCAAAGCCCATGCCTGCATGACAATAGGATAATGCGGATGCTGGACAAAGCCTGCCACCTGTTCTAGAACTATAACCGGAACCCCTACAGCACTCACCACATCAATGAGGCGCAGCATCAGCTGACCCTCAGAAGAATCGAGGCCGGACTCACTTCCGGCCGAGCTCCAAGGCTGGCAAGGAGGGCTCGCAGCTACGAGCTGCACAGGCATATGCAAGAAGCAGCGCATCCACCAATTCCATTTGATGTCTGCGGACACATGCACGAGATCAGAGTGGAGCGAAACAGCCTCCTCCAACTCTTGTGGGCTGCGGAGGAACTGCGTAGCAGGTTCGCGACACTTGATCATTCGATCGCAATCCTCGTCAATGTCCAAAGACCAACAAGCGTGAAGAGGCACAGATCCCCGATTGAGTACAAAAGCCGCCTGAGCAAAACCATTGAACCCGCCACAGAACAACTCAGCCATCTGAACTGATTCCCCTTGAACAATGTCAGCGGCCCCAAGAACCACTGATCGAATGTCAGTACAATCAAGAATCAAATCGCTGTCATGTTGCCCAATGAGCGCCTGCAACACTTTAAGAGGCCCCTGCACATGCTGGAGGACTCCCCAGTCTGCTGGTCGCAACTTCAAGACCACCGTCTGCTGTGAAGCTGTCATGTCTCCCGACTTACAGCAATGTCCTCTCATCCAGACACAGCCCTGCGAGAAATGATGTTCTCCATACGGCAAAACCAAGAAATTGAGAACTTGGCCCCGAAGTGCAGGCGAAAGCTCTGAAGCGACTCGCTGAAGGCGATCCCACTCAAACAAGTAAGGCGAAAGCACAGTGTTCTCTGAATCCATGGCGGAGAAAACCCACGGCCCGATTGGCACCCTAAGGGCAACGACACCGCCCCGTGTAGGCTCGGGCCCAGATGCTACTTAGCCCTAAACCCTAAACCCCAAAGCCCAAAACCGATACTTAAACCCCACGCCCTAAAACCCTAAACCTTAAACAGCCTAAGCCCCAAAACTTCGCCGGGCAGGGCCCGGAAAAGACCCCAGGAGATGCCGTTGCCGAGCCAGAAGAGGATGCCCAGCTGCCTCGGAGGCTTTTGGACGTAGGGGCCTGTCAGGGTATTAGGAATTAAGGGTTTTGGGTTTTAGAGGTTGCGGGGTTTAGGGGTTCATAAGGCTTGGGGGGTTTATGGTTTTTAAGGTTTTTGAGGATTTAGGGTGTATAGTACGGTATATGTATCATAAGGGACCCCACTGCACCGCATATCCGGGCTTCTGAGGGTTTGGGGTTTAGGAGCTCTCCGGCTTTAGGGGTTTTGGGTCCCAGATACGACGCTGACTCGGAGCTCTGATGCAGTGAGTTGGTGTATCAAGTTTCTGAGAAACAGGCTTTAGGTTTTGTTTGATACGGGTTTGAGGGTTGAAGTAGTTTATGGGTATAAGGTTTAAGGCATTTGAAGGTTTAGGTGTTTAGGTTGCGTCCCAAATACTATGCTGCTTGGGAGCTCTGAATAAATGAAACCATCCTTTGTGTTTCCGGGTTAAATGGTTTTGAGGTTTAGGGTCTACAAGGGTTAAAGGAAAATTCAAAAACCAGTGAGAGAAAGTTTCAGTTCAGGGAGGGTTCTGTCAGGGTTTGGTGTGCGTGTGGCCGGTCTTGCCCAAGGGTCCAAGCACCCTAAAGTCTGACTGGTTAGATACCTGAACCGGGGCTTCGTCTTCTAGGGGTAGGGTTCAGGATTCGTGTGGTACTGGGGAGGAGGATTGGTGCCGGGGTTAAAAGGATTTCGGTTTACCCGAAACCAGAAAACGCCCTTACTCCAGACGCCCGCAGGCCCCTTCGACCTACCCCCACTTCCGGGCTGATGTTTCGTGAGTTACCATCATTTCAACATGATACTATGCACTGTCTTTAAGTTACGATACTTTCAACATGAAACTATGTACTGCTTCCAATAAGAACGTGACAGTATGTTATGTACTCTTCTTCCAGGATGTGGTGGCCTGCATGGCTAGCGACTCGGTCTCGCGATTTAGGTTTGAGGCTTCGGATGGCTTTTGCTTACAGAACGCCGCAGTTCGATAACTCAGCTGTGAGACACTCAGGTATTTCAGAACCGACACGTGCAGATCTTGCGACCCCGCTGCAGGAAGCTGATCATCGCATTGTTGTAGAGAGGAAAACCAACGCCTGCACTTGTAGGGGCCGTATTAATTGTAATATGATTTCGGCACTTTCGTAATCTAAGTACCATTCGGAAACCCAGTAAGTAACACTGGTATGTATATATTTAGGCTTCTATGTTGGAAGACTTCGCGTTGGGACTGCACGGTTGTTTGGGGGGTCTATTCTTGCACAGAGAATCGGTAGTAACAGCTCAGATTCCGCAGCTAAGACTTTCATGTGTCAGGCTTCGGCTGTTTGGAACTTGATGTTCGAGTTTTTGCAAGAAAAGGAGCCGCTGAGGGTCCACTCAAGGGAGCACTGTCTGGAACGTGAAAAAAGCAGCAGATCTCCAAGACCACCCGGCCCTTCACCGAACCTGAGGGTTTAGCACTGAGGGTATTACAGAATAGCTCGAGCCCCCGAGAGCCCAAAACCGGAAACCCTGAACCCCAAAGCTCCTGAAACCTAAACCTAAACCCCCAAACCCCCAAACCCTAAACCCTAAACCCTAAACCCTAAACCCCAAACCCCCAAACCCTTAACCCAAAATCCTAAACCCTAAACCCATAAGGTCCCTTTGGAACCCCTTAATTCCCTGATGCCAGAAACTAGTGGCACTCTTGGCCTCGGCTCAGAGCTCTAGGGGTTTAGATCGTTTTAGGGTTTAGGGTTTAGGGTTTCGGGTTTTAGGGTTTTAGGGTTTAGGGTTTTAGATCGTTTAGGGTCTAGGCCCTTAGGTTCAGGGTTTTGGGTTCAGAGTTTCTCTTGCGTTTAGGGTTAGCGGTTTGGCGGTTCGGGGCCTGCGCTGTTTAGCTTGTTGGGTTTAGGATTAGGATTTGGAGCGTAGGGGATTACATGGTTTAGGGTCTTAGGTCTAGGGCTTGCGGGATGGGTTACAGTAAACTCAAAATTTTACACTGTTAGGGCCGAAAGACCTTCCAACAAATTTAAAATAAACTCTGGAACTTCAATACTCCACATCCTGAACCCACAACGCCTCCAAGCATGGCCCCTCGTGCAAATTCCCAAGTTCCCTCCAGCCTACGATGTTGAGGTCGTAGACACGAAGTCGCGAGACACGAACGATGTCACGCAGGCGAAAAGGCCGAGCCTTTCACCGGAAACGTATTGTCGGGGCCTTTTGATTGGGGCTCAAGGCTTTGAGGCTTCAGGGTTTGATTTTACAGCTTAGTTTAGGGTTGCGTTTCAGAAACCCACAAATTTTGGTTGCTAAGGGCCCCATAGTATATCCACAAGTTTGCTACTAGAAGGGCTTGTGCACAGGGCTCCCGGCTTTGAGGGTTCAGGGCTTCTGACTTTCGGTTTAATTAACCTTCCGCTTTGAGCTCAAGCTTCAGGTTTTGCTTCTGAACCTCTCATTGAAAACAATCTTTTGCCATGAACGTGATTCCTGTCGGGATGTCAATGATGGTGGCAACATGTGGTGGCAACTGTTTCAGTAGTGGTGTTTGCGATGAGCAAAGACAATGGCCATAATTTAAGCCATACTAGCAATGATGATCATGCCGAAGATGATGACTTGCTTGGAGTAGCAACTCATGCCAAGAACCATGATCTCGACATCAGCACCAGCCGGATATCGCCAAGACCAATAACAGCATCGGAATCATGCTCCAACGGAACGTCATGGAACTTCTTGAGGCCCTTTGCCATGATCATTACGTGTGACCATGACTATTTTAGCAGTATAACGTCAACTATGGCAGGATCTCTACTACGATTTTAGGTCTATTCCTTACTTAAGCGGTTTGAAGTCTCTCTAGAAACATCAGATCAGATCCCCGTCTGCCTGCACCTGAATCCCTAAGCCGTAGATTTGAGCAGGCCGGCCTTCCAGCTATCCGTGAAATGCATGACGCCCGAGTCGTTTGGGATGGCCTGGAGCTGTCAGGACTTGGGCTGTACCACCTGTGTGGGCTTTTCGAACTGAGACTTCAAGTCTAAGACTTAAAACTGAAGCTTCTAAAGCCAATCGGCTTTCGGCCCTAACCTTACACCAATTTACACCCAAGCCCTGAGACTCATGTTGCTGTAGCTTACAGCGCTTTCGGCTTTCAGGATGCTCTCGTCGCAGGCTTTAAGGGTTTTCGGGGTTTGAAGTGTTTAAGTTTAAGGTTGTTGGGCTTAAGGGCTCCTACACCCAAAACCCTTTAGCTGCTTAGGGTTCTACGACTTAGGCTTGCTCATACCTTTTCAGGTCCTTGGGCTCAATTGGCTGAGTGCTTACGATTGATTGCCTACATTCAGATTGGGTTTTCCAGAAGAGAACATAACAGAACCTCGCACTGCTGTTTTCGAGGATTGCGGATTTGGACTTATGGGGTTTAGGGTGTAGCCTTTGTGGTTTTGGGGCCCCGCAGGTTACCAACCGATAGATGTAGCCTATTCGCTTGAACCCAGACATTGGGAACATGACACGGCTAGCTCAGCTAGCTTTGAACCAGCCCGAAGCTGTTGCCGGGCAGTTTAAGGCAAAGTTTAGGGTTTAGAGTCAAGGGTTGCCGTAGACCCTAAACCTAAGTAAGGGGGGCCATCTGGGACCCTGGCCGCATGGCACTGCATGTGATGCTCTTCGGCTGCTTGCACCATGGTGCGGTACGTCTTGCTCCGCGTGACCTCCCCGGTGCGGACTTTGGTAATACATGGACCGTCAGAGTGGTTAGATTGAGGTTTTGGGGTATACAAGGGTATATCAAAATACGGAACCCTGCGGAAGAACTCAAACGCCACGTTTGTTTCGAGGGTTCTGCCTCGGAAAGTTTTGGGCTTTCTTTCCGTTATATCCCCTGGCAGCAAGAATTTGGGTTTCTTAGCTGAGCAACTAAGTGCACGTTTACCTGTGTTTCCTCTACGGCTAGAATCTGGCAAGGGGCTGGGTCTGGGGTAGTATACTTCGGCCAGAGCTCATTTGGCTTGATCTGCCAAAGTCAAAAAGGTGTACGGCGGCAAAAGACTTGATGCAGGGTTCAGGGCTACAAGACGTGCCACGGGGACAAACACAACCACCCCAACCAACTGCCAATGAAACACCGGCACCTGAAGACGGAAATCCCAAATCTTCAACCCTAACCCCAACCCAAGGTCAAACCCCAACCCTTGGCAGGACAACCCCTTGCTAAAGAGCCGACCCTTCTCCGGTGCGAGATGAAGACCTTGGGCGTGGTTTGGGATTTGAGCATACCGCTTGAGGGTTTCAGGGTATTTCAGGGTCTAAGGTTCTAGATTATGTCTTCAGGCTGGGGTGCAGCATTCTAGGGTGTAGAGTCTAGGAAAGCTTTATAACGCAGGGCTTTGAGAGGCTTCGCTTCTATCGTGCAGGGCTACATATGTCATATATCTCTGTTATCTTACATACACTGCCTATAGTTATCAGCCTTTAGAGGAGCATAATTATCAAGATTGTTGCACCCAGGTCAAGGAGCCAACCATAAGTGACCGTAATGTGTGTGTACATAACTGATATGACCCACAACACTTCATTCATGGAAGCATATACCAGATAATATGGCTGTTGTGCTCTAGATCAAACTCGCCAACAAGAACCCGGCTGCTGCAATCTCAGAATTCGCGAGGCGGACTGTCAAGAGTCGTGGCCGTGAGGACGGTAGTCGTGTCATGGTTTAGGCAATCTTTTTGTGCGGGCTGGATCGGTCTGTAAGGGTTTCAGCGAGTCTTAGACAGGGTTCATAAACAAGGTTTGTACAGTTTGTGTTGAGGGTTGACATGAATCGAAATCTTGTCTGCGACCGTATCTCTCAACAATGACCCAGTCATCTACCCTACACACTAAGCCAGAAAGCTTGAGCCTCTGCTTTCGACCCCATGCAGAACGTCACGGCTTGAACCACAGGGCAACATCTATGGATTGAGACTGAAGTCCCGGTTGTGATTGAAGAAAGGAAGAGTCATTGGACTCGGACACCAGCATTATGCAACGGCCAAATGTATCTTCACGTAGGTGTTACCCGAAGGCCCGATTGCGAAATTGTCCGCTAGCCACCCTGAACCCGAAACCCTAACCCCTAGACCCTCATGACCGCAGTCAAGGGACAACCACCAGCGTGACCACTCCGATAGCGATGCCAATTGTCGCAGCCGTATAGATCCAATCCTCAGTAGCAAAGGGCTTTGGGTTAAGGCTTCACGTGCACAAGGAGCAAAGACCCTGAATACTGACCTAGACCCACGCTAGCCCTGCTTCAAGCCCGGATGCTCCTGGAAGACATTCTGCACAGACAAGAGCTTCGGATAGCAGTGTAGTTGAGGCTTTGCGTTGCAGCAGGGTGTACGCGCGCGCCTACATGCTGTGTTGCCAACGGCATGGGCCTGACATTAATCCGTAAGCCTGTGACCCTCTGAATCCTCCGGAATCTCACTGCTTGTCTTCCGACATCGATTACCATGTCTTGTAACATGTTCGCCTATCATCGTCAAGGCTGCCAGCATTGTCTGCAAAATGCAAGGATAGCAAAGCGAGTGAGAACAGTAGTTTGCGGGGGTAGCACTGCACTCGCAAGACTGATCTCCTACAAACAAGATCGAATAATCATGCCGAAGACGACCAGATTGAACACCCCGAAACCCTCCCTGCACAACACTAAGTCCTCCTCCGATATCCTTACAAACCCTTATTGCAGCCCTCAAAACCCTACACCCTAAACCCTACACCCCATAACTCTTTACACCCCTCAACTCTGAACCCTACACCCCCAAAACCCTAAACCCCTATACCCTGTCCGTGGCAGCTCAAGCTTGGAGCCGGGCTGGTACGACTGGCCTTTGTTTGGCCGAAGTTCGACAAGTTCCACAAGGGGATCTATAAGAATCTTATCTGTGGGGTATTATTTTGAGCTTCTATAAGACTATTAGGGTTCTATGAGGCATTATGAAAGGGTTCTATAAGAATCTTAAGGTTCTGAGAGGTATTATCAATAGCTTCTATAAGACTCTTAGGGTTCTATGAGGCATTATTAAAGGGTTCTATAAGAATCTTCGGGTTCTGTGGAGTATTATTATTGGGTTCTGTACGAATCTGAGGGTTGTATGGGGTTCTAGATGGGTTCTCGATGACGATTCGAGGTCTCAAATAGACTTTTGTCGGGACTCTGGGATTGCTTGGGGCTTTTCAAGCTTCTGCCGGGTTGTACAAAGTTCGCGATTGGGTCCTACAGGCATTCTACAGAGCTCTATGGAGGCATCCTTATGTTTACGCTTTGTCGAAATTCTACTGGGTTCTCAACGGATTCTACGAGAACTCTGCAAGTGTTCCATAAGGGTTCTACAGAATTTGTGTAAGAGTTTTTGGATTTCGGGCCATGGGTCTGGCAATGGTTCAGGCTCAGGGGCCAACTCTTGCTAAACGTCCATAACCCTAAACTCTCAAGCTCTAACTTGGAAGTCTCAACACTCCCTGTTCGAAATCCTGCGCTCCCGAACCCCCGGGTTTAGGGTTTAGGGT